TAATCTAATGCCATTAAGATTTACATCTACAGTTTTATCTGGGTGATTTAAAATTTAGCTCTTTGATCCATTTTTATATATGGTATAAAATAGGGGTCCACATTAATCTTGAGGTATGTGGATATCAAGCTGTTCCAGAACCATCTGTTGAAAAGTCTACTGTTTCCCCCCAGTGTATTATCTTGGCACCCTTGCTGAAAATCAGTTCACTATAAATGAATGTGTTTTTTTCTGAATTCTCAATTCTATTACACTGATCTATATATCTACCCTTATGCAAGTACCACACAGTCTTGATTACTGTGGCTCTACAGTACATTTTGAAATCGGGAATTATGAATGCTCCAACTTTGTTCTTTTTTCAAGACTGTTTCGGCTATTCTGGATCCCTCGCATTTCCATATGAATTTTAGGGTCAGTATGTCAATTTCTACAAAGTTGTCAGCAGAAATTTTGACAGGAATTGCACTGAATCTAAATCAACTTGGAGAGTATTACCATCTTAACAATATTATGTTTTCCAATCCATGAAACAGGATGTCTTTTCCTTTAAATCATCTTTAATTTTGCTCAAAGATGTTTTCCATGGAGTTCGGTATACCAGTCGTATACTTTTTTGGTTAAATTTATTCTTTTTTTTTTTTTTTAAAGGATTTTATTTATTTATTTGACAGAGATCACAAGCAGGCAGAGAGGCAGGCAGAGGGAGAGAGGAGAAAGCAGGCTCCCCGCTGAGCAGAGAGCCCGATGCGGCGCTCAATCCCAGGACCCTGAGATCATGACCAGAGCAGAAGGCAGAGGATCAACCCACTGAGCCACCTAAGCGCCCCATGTTAAATTTATTCTTAAGTATTTGATTCTTCTTGATGCTATCGTAAATAAAGTTGTTTTAATTTCATTTTCAGATCATTCACTGCTGGTCAGTAGCAATACAACTGGTTTTTTAATCTACTAATGTTATATCCTACAGCCTGCAGTCTAATTACTAACGTTAGAAAATTTCCCATATTAGAAGCTTAAAAAAAACAGTATTGAATTTAGTCAAATGATTTAATGTACCTACTGAGATGATGTAACTTTTTCTCCTTTATTGTAACTAACTTTTCAAATGTTAAATTAACCTCACAGTTCTGCAATAAATCCAGTGCAGTCCTGATGTATTTCCCTTCTTATATTTTAGTGGATTCAGTTTGCTACTAATTTGGTTAACGTTTTTTAATCAATGGTTCACAAGTGACACTGGCCTATGTTTTTCTTCTTGTTTTATCCTGGTTATGTGATACTAAGGTTATGTTAGCCTCATAATGAATAAAAAAACATTTCTACTTTTTTTAAATCCTTTAAAAGACTGATATTGGGGCACCTAGGTGGCTCAGTCAGTTAAGTATCTATCTTCAGCTCAGGTCATGATCCCAGAGTCCTGGTTTGAGCCCCACACTGGGCTCCCTGCTCAGTGGGGAGCCTGATTCTCCCTCTCCCTCTGTATCTCCCCCAGCTTGTGTCTATCTCTAATAAATAAATAAAATCCATTTTAAAAGATTCTATTTATTTATTCATGAGAGAGAGAGAGAGAGAGGAGCAGAGGCAAAGGGAGAAACAGGCTCCCAAGGTGCAGGGAGCCCAATGTGGGACTTGATCCCAGGACCCCAGGATCCTGGGATCCAGATGCTTAACCAGCTGAGCCACCCAGGTGCCCAATAAAATCTTTAAAAATGAATAAATAAAAACAAAATAAAAGACTGGTGATGGTGCGCCTGGGTAGCTCGGTGGCTGGGCATCTGACTTCAGCTCAGGGTCATGATCTCAGGGTTCTGGAATCCAGTGTCATGCTTCTCACTGAGCAGAGAGTCTGCCTTTTCCTTTCCCTCCCTCTCTGCCCCTCCCCCTGTACATGCTCTCGCTCTCTCAAATAAATAAAATCTTTTAAATAAATAAATAAGTAAATAAAAGACTGGTGTTGTTTTTTACCTTCTGCTAATAAATCCATCTGGTCCTGAAGTTTCTTTATGGGATTTTTATTTAAAGCTTCATTTTTTAAAAATATTTTTTAAGGGACACTTGGATGGCTCAGTTGGTTGAGTGGCTGCCCTCACCTCAGATCTTGATTCTGGAGTCCTCAGAACAAGCCCCACATCAGGCTCCCTGCTCAGCGGGGAGTCTGCTTCTCCTTCTGCCCTTCACCCCGCTTGTTCTCTCTGACCCCACTTGCTCTCTCTGGCTCTATCTCAAATAAATAAATAAAACCTTTATAAATATATATATATATATATATTTTTAAAGTTTTATTCATTTAAGTAATCTCTACACCCCACGTGGTGCTCAAACTTAAAACACCAAGATCAAGAATTGCATGCTCCACTGACTGAGCCAGTCAGCCAGTAAAGATTTTTATTCACAGATTCATTTTTTAAAATAAATATAGGCTACACAAATTCTCTACTTCTTGTGTTGGTTTTGGTAAATTTCTTTCTCTAGTAATTTGTCCACTGTGCAAACATTTTCAAATATATTGGCCTAACAATTCTTCATAACTAATTTTATCTCTTGCTTAACAACACTAACTCATTCCAGAACACCCCCAGTAGGTGGAAAGCTGTTTAATTTTTTAAACTTGATCCACTAATTTTAATGGGAAAGATTATCATGCAACCCATCCCAACCCAAAAAAGTGTATTAGTTTGCTAGGGCTGCCTAACAAAATACCACAGACCAGCTGGCTTAAACAAGAGATTTATTTTCTCACAATTCTGGAGTTTAGATGTCTGAGATTAAGGTGTTAGCAGTACTGATTTCTTCTGAGACTTCTCTTCTTGTATCCTCACATGGTTTTCCCTCTGCCTCTGTGTCCTAATCTTCTCTTTTTGTAAGGACATAATTTCCTATTTTCTGTATACTCTTTGTCCCTATTTTTAACAGTTTCAAAACCTTCCTATTCTCAAGCCTTTTAGGACCCCTAGGTCACAGATTAGCTACTTTCTGGGATTCCCCTATGCCAGAGTCACTTGACTGATGGATTTTGAATATTTTCCCTAATTTTTTGCTTCATAAATAATGCCACAATATCCTCTTATGGACATATTTGAATCCATTCTTTTAAGTATAACTATTACCACTTCTATTCTTAGAAGTAAAAACATTAGGCCAAAGTATATACATATTTTAAGTTGACTGCTTTACAAAGAAGTTTTCATATTTATATTCTTATTCACAGGCAGAGCAGAGTTTAACAACCTTTTCTGCAAAAGGCCAGAAAGAAAAATCTTTTATACTTCTAGGGACCTACATACAGTAACTGTTGAAATTACTCAATCTTTCTATTATAGCACAGAAAGCAACCAAAGATAGTATGTAACTGAATGGGTGTGGGAGTGTTCCAATAAAACTTTATGCATAAAAATAGGCAGTGGTCTGGATTAGGCCAATGGGTAGCAGCTGGCTAATCAGTGGGCTAGAGAAAGCTTATATCCCCATATTCCCATCAATATTATGTACTTATCAAATTTTTTATATTTGCTAATCAGATGGATGAAAATAATGCATTCATTTGTCTTAATTTTCACACTTTTAACTATAAGAGACAATCAAATTTTAATGGTTTATTAGACATCTTTTTCATTACCTGTGAATAATCTATACCTGTTGCCTATTTTTATTTTTATTTTTTAAAAATATTTTATTTAGGGCGCCTGGGTGGCTCAGTCGTTAAGGGGCTGACTTTAACTCAGGTCATGATCCTAGCATCCTGGGATCGAGCCCCACATCGGGCACCCTGGTCCTCGGGAAGCCTGCTTCTCCCTCTTCCACTCCTCCTGCTTGTGTTCCCTCTCTCACTGTAACTCTCTCTGTCAAATAAATTAAAAAAAAATCTTTTTTAAAGATTTTTAAAGATTTTTTTTTAAAGATTTAAAAATCTTTAAAAAAGATTTTATTTATTTATTTGACAGAGAGAGAGAGAAAAAAGCATGGGGAGCGGCAAGCAGACGGAGAGGGAGAAAGAGAAGCAGCCTCCCTGTGGAGGGGGCAGTCCAACGCAGGACTGGATCTTAGGACCCCAGGATCATGACCTGAGCTGAAGGCAGATGCTTAACCAACTGAGCCTCCCAGGGGCCCCTGTTGCCTATGTTTATTAGCAGCACTTTCTATTGAAGAATATAGTTTGGGGCACCTGGGTGGCCCAGTCAGTTAAGCATCCACCTCTTGGTTTCAGCTTAGGTCAGGATCTCAGGTCACCCCTATACAAATGATTTTTAATGTACTAATTCTAGTTATCTCTAGAGTGTGTGTGTGTATGTGTGTGTATAAAACCTTTAACATAGGGCACCTGGGTGGCTCAGTTAGCCATGTGTCTGCCTTCGGCTCAAATCAGGATCCCAGGGTCCTGGGATGGAGCCCTGCGTGGGGCTCCCTGTTCAGCAGGAGTCTGCTTCTCCCTCTCCCTCTACCCACCCACATGTTCTGTCTCAAATAAACAAATACAATCTTTGAAAATATAAAAATAAAGTTGTAAGCATGATAAGCAGAGAAACAATTATTTTCAAATGGTAGCTATAACTGAAGTAAAAATTAAGCTTAAATACATAAATATTTGACAAAATCTGCTTGTTTCTAGAATGGATGGGTATTTGCAGATTTACCATGGTCCTTAAATAAGTTTTATCATCCTTGTTAAGAGTAAGAAAATCTGGGCACCCGGGTGGCTCAGTCGTTAAGCGTCTGCCTTTGGCTCAGTTCATGATCCCGGAGTCCTGGGATCAAGCCCCGCACTGGGCTCCCTGCTCAGCGGGAATCCTGCTTCTCCCTCTTCGACTCCCCCTGACTATATTCCCTCTCTCACTGTCTCTGTCAAATAAGTAAATAAATAAAATCTTAAAAAAAAAAAAAAAAAAAAAGAGTAAGAGCATCTAAGAAGACATAATGTTTCCCGGAACAACAGGAAAAGCCTCCTGAATCTGCCATATATATAAAGCACATATGGTGAGTTATGGAAAATCCATACTTACATGATTGCAGTCTGAAGAAATCTCATTTTCAGGCTAAAAGGGAAAAAAAAGAGAGATGACGTTAAAAAAAAAAAAAAACCCAACCCTCAAGTTTTCAAATACCACCAAAATAAACTCAAAACAAGAAATCTGAATATTTAACTGAATATGTTTCTTCAATTTAAGAAATAAAATGGGCTTATAAGTGTTTTAGATTGCCAGGGAGGAATATACCAGAAAAGTAGATGAGACATAATCATTTTCTAATCAATCACTTTCTAATCAATGGTACAATCTGAAAATGGGGAAAATGGAATAGAAAGTAGTAAAGAGGGAAGAGTTCAAGATGGCAGAGGAGTAGGAGACCTAAATTTCATCTGGTCCCAGGAATTCAGCTAGATAGCTTTCAAAGCATTCTGGACACCTACCAACTCAACAGGAGATTGAAGAAAAGAATAGCAGCAACTCTATGAGCAGAAAAGTGACCACTTTCTGGAAGGTAGGACCTGCAGAGAAGTGAATCTGAGATGTACGGGAAGACCGCAGGGTGGGGGGTACTTCTGTCAGCTGGCTACTGGCAAATGATACAGCAGCAGAGCACAAAATTGGGACTTTTAGAAGTTTGCTCTGGTGAGGAATTTAACTCTGGTGGCTAAGCAAGGGGTGGAACCCTCACCGGAACAGTGTGGTCTCAGGACTCTCGGGGTCACAGAAAGACCAGGGTTGCATGAGTGTGGCAGAACTCCCAGGCATTGGAGCAGGGAAGCTGGCTCCAAAGACTGAGCCGAGGAGTGGGCTCTCAGCTCAGGACTGCCATAAACTGTGATATGCAGTACAGCTGGGCCACTGCACTTTGAGCTGGGGCCCAACACATGGCAGAACCAGAAAGACTTCCCTTCCTCCCCAAGGGTGAGCTGCAGGGGAGCCGGATGCAGGGATCTGCTGGGTTTGGGGACACCAAATGGGGCCGTGTGCCAGAAATAGAAACGCACTGTCACAGGCTGGGTGAGTACAGAGTGTGGCCGGAGACCAGGGAGAGAGGAGTGATTGACTGCTTTTCTCTGAGGGTGCACTAAGGAGTGGGGACCTGAGCTCTCAGCTCCTCTGGGGCCAGAGATTGGGAGGCTGCCATTTTCACTCTCCTCCTCAAAATTTGTGTGGAAAGCTGATAGGGAACAAAAACTACAGAGAGCAAACCAAGCAGATTACTTAGCCTGGCCGCTGGCAAGGGAGATGCAATTCCACCTGGGGCAAATACACTTGAGAATCAATGCAACAGGCCCCTCCCCCAGAAGATCAGCAAGAACGTCCAGCCAAGACCAAGTTTACCGCAAAACTCCAGCGCTAGGGGAATACAGCACCCCATGATTCTTTAGTCTTTCAACTTTAATTTTTAAAATTTTATTATTTTTGTTTCTTTTTCTTTCTTTTTCTCATTTTTATTTCCTTTTTCAACCAACTTCTTACCATTTCCCTTTTAAAAACCTTTTTTAAATTTCATTTTTGCAGTTGCATCACATCCATTCATTGTATTTAACCTTATTTTTGTATATATGTAAGTTTTTCTTTCTTTTAAAATTCTGGGATCCAGCTTCTTCTAACAGACCAAAATACACCCCAAATCCAGTATATGGCTCTGTTCTATGAAACAGCCTGATCATATTCTTCCCCCTCTACCCCCACCTGTGGGTCTCTTCTGATTTGTTTTGTGTACATTTCTCTGGAGTCATTGTTACCCTTTAGCATTTTGTTCTCTCATTCATCTATTCTTCTCTGGACAAAATGGAAAAACTCACCTCAAAAAATAGAGTAAGAGACAGTACCAACTGCCAGGGACCTAATCAATATGGACATTAGTAAGACATTAGAACTAGAGTTCAGAATAATGATTATAAAGATACTAGCCGGGCTTGGAAAAAAGCACAAAGGACACTAGGGAATCCCTGGAGAATTAAAATCTAACCAAGTCAACATCAAAAAGGCTTTTAATGAGATGCAATAAAAAATTGAGGCTCTTACTACTAGGATAAATGAGGCAGAAGAGAGAATTAGTAACATGAAAGGCCAAATGATGGAGAATAAAGACACTGAGAGAGAGAGAGAGAAGAGAGATAAACAACTACTGCATCACGAGGGGAGAATTCGAGAGATAAGTGATACCATAAAGTGAAACGATATTAGAATAATTGGGATCCCAGAAGAAGACAGACAGGGGCAGAAGTATACTGGAGCAAATTTTAGTGGAGAACTTCCCTAGTTTAGGGGAGGAAACAGGCATCAAAATCCAGGAGGCTCAGAAAACCCCCCTCAAAATCAACAAAATCAGATCAACACCCCGACACCTAAAAGTAAAACTACGAACCTCAGAGACAAACAGAAAGTCCTAAAAGCAGCTCGGGACAAGACGTCTGTAACCTACAATGGTAGAAACATTCGATTGGTAGCAGACCTATCTACAGAGACGTGGCAGGCTGGAAAGGACTGGCATGATCCAGATACTAAGTGAAAAAAATATGCAGCCAAGAATACTATATCCAGCAAGGGTGTTATTGAAAATAGAAAGAGAAATAAAAAGCTTCTAGGACAAAGAGAAATTAAAAGAATTTGAAATTACCAAACCAGCCCTACAAAAAATACTGAAAGGGATCCTTTAAGCAAAGAAAGAGCATAAAGGTAACACAGACCAGAAAAGAACAGACTATATACAGTAATAGTTACCTTACAGGCAATACAATAGCACTAAATTAATATCTTTCAATAGCTACCCTAAAAGTAAAGGGCTAAATACCCCAATCAAAAGACACAGGGTACAAGATTGGATAAAAAAGCAAGACCCATCAATATGCTGTCTGCAAGAGACTCATTTTAGACCCAAAGATACCTCAAGATTTAAAGTGAGGGGGTGGAAAACCATTTATCATGCTAATGGCATCAAAAGAAAGATGGGGTGACAATCAATTAGATTTTAAACCAAAGACTATAATAAGAGATGAGGAAGGACACTGTATCATACTTAAAGGTGCTATCCAATGAGAAGATCTAACAATTATAAATATTTATGCCCCAACATGGAAGCAGCCAATTAGATAAGCCGATTAATAACAAAATTGACAAACACATCAATAATAATACAGTAATAGTAGGGGACTTTAACACACCCCTCACTAAAACGGACAGATCATCTAAGCAAAAGATCAACAAGGAAATAAGGGTTTTAAATGACACACTAGACCAGATGGACTTCACAGATATATTCAGAACATTCCACCCCAAGGTTGCAGAACACACATTCTTCTCCAGTGGACATAGAACATTCTCCAGAACAGATCACATCCTGGGTCACAAATCAGGTCTCAACTGGTACCAAAAGACTGGGATCGTTCCCTACATATTTTTAGACCGCAATGCTTTGAAACCGGTCAATCCCAAGAGGAAAGTTGGAAAGAACTCAAATACATGGAGGCTAAAGAGGATCCTACTAAGGAATGAATGGGTCAACCAGGAAATTAGAGAAGAATTTAAAAAATTCATGGAAATGAATGAAAATGAAAACACAACCATTCAAAAATCTTTGGGATGCAGCAAAGGCAGTCCTAAGAGGGAAGTATATAGCAATACAAGCCTTTCTGAAGAAACTAGAAAGGTCTCAAATACATAACCTAACCCTACACCTAAAGGAGCTGGAGAAAGAAGAACAAATAAAGCCTAATCCCGGCAGGGGAAGAAAATAATAAAGATCAGAGCAGGAATCAATGAAACAAAAACCAATAGAACAGGAGAACACATCAATGAAACTAGGAGCTGGTTCTCTGCAAGAATTATTAAGATTGATAAACCACTGGCCAGACCTATTAAAAAGAAAAAAGGACCCAAATAAATAAAATCACGCATGAAAGAGGAGATCAAAACCAACACCAAAAAAATACAAACAACTATAAGAACATATTGTGAATAGCTATATGCTGACAAATTAGACAATGTTAGAAATGGATGCATTCCTAGAGACATAAAAACTACCAAAAGTGAAGCAGGAAGAAACAGAAAACCTGAACAGTAGATCCATAACCAGCAAGGAAGTTGAAGCAGTAATCAAAAATCTCCCAACAAACAAGAGCCCAGGGCCAGATGGCTTCTGAGGGGAATTCTACCAAACATTTGAAGAAGAATTAAAAACCTATTCTTCTGAAGCTGTGAAATGGAAGGAAAACTTCCAAACTCATTTTTTATGAGGCCAGCATTACCCCACCAAAAAGAATTACAGACCAATATCCCTGAGGAACATGGATGCAAAAATTCTCATCTATATATTTACTAGCCAATAGGATCCAACAGTACATAAAAAGGATTATTCACCACTGCCAAGTGGGATTTATTCAGGGCTACAAGGTTGGTTCAACATTTGCAAATCAATCAATGTGATACACTACATTAATAAAAGAAAGGACAAGAAACATATGATATTCTCAATAGATGTGTGAAAAGCATATGAGAAAGTACAGCATCCTTTCTTATTTAAAACTTTTCACAGTACAGGGATAGAGGGTATATATCTCAGTATCATAAAAGCCATGCATGAAAAACCTACAGCGAATATCCTTCTCAATGGGAAAAAATTGAGAGCTTTTCCCCTAAGGTCAGGAACACAGCAGGGATGTCCACTATCACCACTGCTATTCAACAAAGTACTAGAAGTCCTAGCCTCAGCAATCAGACAACAAAAAGAAATTAAAGGCATCCAAATCAGCAAAGAAGTCAAACTCTCACTCGTTGCAGATGATATGATATTTTATGTAGAAAACTCAAAAGACTCCATCCCAAAACTGCTAGGACTCATACAGAAATTCAGTAAAGTGGAAGGACACAAAATCAATGCACAGAAATCAGTTCCATTTCTATACACCAACAATGAGCAAAAGAAAGAGAAATCAAGGAGTAGATCCTATTTCCAATTGCACCAAAAATCACAAGATACCTAAGAATAAACCTAACCAAAGAGATAAAGAATCTGTACTCAGAAAACTATAGAGTTCACGCATAAAAGAAACTGAGGAAGA